GCGTGGTCAATCCGAAGGGGTGTGGTCACAAATTTGGGGCTGTGCCAATGGGAGGGACCCCCCCAGACCCCTATTGCCCCCTGCCCTCCCCCCACTGCTCCCCCCATTGCCTCCAACTGTCCCCCCATTGCCGGTGCTAGGGGGCGGGGTCACGGGGTGGGGGGCGTGGTCACGATGTGAGGGGCGGGGCTGCAGTGCCGGGGCGGAGCCAATGAAAGGGGCGTGGTCAGCATGGAGGGGCGTGGTCACAGAGAACGGGCGTGGCAGGGGGACGGGCAGCATCGCAGACTGGGAGGGTGAAAGGGGGCGTGGTCACGTGGTTGTGACCAATGGGGACGGGGGTGGTCACAGAACTGGGGCGCGGGCAATGGGAGGGGCGTGGTCACGTGGCAGTGGGCGGAGCCAATGGGAGGGGCGTGGTCGCGGAGTAGAGGGCGGGGCTGAAGTGCTGGGGGCGTGGCCACGTGGATAAGGGGGCGGGGCATCGCGGCGGATGAATGAATGCAACGGGGCCGAACGGAATGGGGCAGAACCACGGGGCCGAACGCCGGGGGACCCCAGGGCACAATGAGCGGGGCCGGCCGGACGCTACGGGGCTGGAATCAACGGGGCGCAACCCGGGGGCTCGGCGGACCCGACGGCTTCGTTTGGGCCCGACGCGGACGGACGGAGCCCCGCGCCGCGCCACGGCCGCTGTGCCCCCACCTCTTGTAGACCACCTTCAGCTCCCCCCACTCCAGGAAGCTGCACATTTTGGGTTTCCGCGCCAGCACGGCCTGCATCAGCTCCCGGGCCGCCTTCCGTTTATCGCGCTCCGCCCCGGCGCGGTACCATTGCTGCAGGCGCAGCTTCCCCTGGCGGCTGAACAGCAGCACGAAGCGCAGCTGCGGGGCAGAGCGCGGGGAGACGCGGGGCCGGGGTCAGAGGTCAGCTCCCTCTCCATCACGTGACCCCGCCCACGTGACCCCCGCCCCCCCCTCGCCACGTGACTCCGCCCAGCTCCCATCTCGCCCGTCCCCGCTGCTCACCATGGCGCCCCCGCCGCCACTTCCGCTGCCTGCCCCGCTTCCGGTCTGCGCCCCTCCCCTTCCGCTTCCCGTGAGCGCAGAGCGTAACTTCCGGCCGGGGCGGGGTCGACGCTGATTGGTCCCCGCGGGGAAGAGCGCGTTGCCATGGGAACGGCCGCCCGCGGCCCAGGCGAAACCCGAGTCCGCGCCAGGCCCCCAAATCCCCCCCACCCCCGTGAAAAAAAAACAACAACGACTTCACCCCCTGAACTCGCAGAGGCTCCACAGTTTCCTGTATTCACCCCAAAAGCGCCCTGCGCTTCGGCCGAGCTCACAGCCGGACCACGTAGGAGTCGCTGTGGGTCAAATGGCGAACCCAGCGCTGGGGGGGGGCCGGGGGGGCGCCGGGGGGGGCGGAGAGGCGAAGGCAGCGCAGCCGCAAACCTGACACCGTCAGAGCCGGGAGCTCAAAGGTGAGAGCGGCCGGGCCCAGCCCCAGCGGGGGGGTGGGGGGCAGCTGAACCTGCAAGGCAAATATGGGGGGGTGAGGGCGGCGCTGGGGGGGCACAGGGGGGTCGCACAGGGCTCTCACACCCCCAGGGGGTCACACACACACGTTGGGGTCACCCTGGGGTCACAGTGGGGTCACACCCCCCCTGGGGTCACACTGGGGGTCTCCTCACCCTGAACACAGCGCCCAGCTGTGCCCCCCCCTGGCACCGTGGGATGGCCCAGCGCAGGCAGCGTCCCCCCCCCTGCAGCTCTGCCGTCTGCTCGGGGCTGCTCAGCTCCTGTGCCAGGCTGGGGAGGGGGAAAACACGGTGAGAACCCCCCCCGCTTCGACCCCCCCAAAAGCGATGGCCTCCACCAGACCCCCGTGCGATGCCCACCCCAAAATACCCCCCCACATCAATAGCACG